TGGGCAGGGAGTTTTCTTGCCAGAAAACTAAGTCCTTTTCCCACTGGGAATTCCCCAACTCCAAATTTTACAAGGATTTGGATTTAGGCCCAAGTTTGTTTTCTAAACTGGTCCAATAGTAAGAGAGGTCCAAAATAGTTCAAGGACTTGGATTTGAAGCCCACTTGGAATCCCACGTGCTTAGGGATTTTCGGGCTAGAGGAGAAGGCTAAGTTTTAGCCCAAAAAAGTAAAATCTGGTCCACTCAGCCTTGATTCCTCTTGGCATGATTCATACATATGACCATGTGTAAACCTCACACTTGGCCGAGAGATAGGAGGAAAGATGAGTCCTTCTCGCTAGGGAATTCTCCTCCCAAGAACACATTCAGCTCGATATCCTTAGGAGAAAAGGAGACATGTTGAGGCAGAATTCCTAATCATAAAAGCTTTAAGAATTGTGGCAATCTTCTTGTGGAAGCCATGAGTCACTTTAGGAATCTTACATGGACTCTATAATCCATAAATTCATAAAATAATTGGATTAGAGTCATAAAAAAAGAAGGGAAGAGCAAATCCTAGCTGATGTTTTACATGGGAAGATTCCTAGGATAAGATTTGTCTTCTACTTCAAGAATGAAGCTTTTTCATTCAAATCCAAACTCAACTTCAACAACATAAATTAATTAAATAATGAAGATCAAATTCATGGCAAAATCTAAAAGAGGAGTTTGGCGACAACACTTCTTCATCCCAAGAGAGAAGATTTTTTATTTTAATTAAAGTGCGTTTATTATAATTATTGTTTTAATGCTTACCTAGGTCAAGTTAATTTAAATGTTTAATTAAAATTTTAATTTTTGAGTTTTATTTGGATTTGTAAGATGAATGCCTATATAAAGCTCACCTCTTATTAGTTGCAATCAAATCAATTCAAATTTTAGGTTAATAAAATATTTAGTTTATTACTTTTAGCTTATGCTAATTGTGAGTGAATGTTCAATCAAATGAGGTTATTTGATTCTCTTATTGAATTAAAGAATCAAATCAACTTATCGAGTAAGATCGTGATATCTTTTATATTCCACTTTAATTCCCAATTATCTTAATTTGCATTCACATATTGAATGTAGGTTAAAAAGGGAGGGTTTATTTAGAAATTTAAGATTTTTGAATGCTAATGTTATATGCGGAGTTTTTGATTACACTGTTGATCCTGAATTAGAAGCATCATATAGTTTTCATAGATAATAGTGATTTGTATGAATCATATTTATAATTATGTAATTATGTATTGATCTCTCTATTTTTGAATAAGTAAAATAATCATATGTTTGATTAACTTGATGTTTGAACTCTTGAGAAATTAAATTACATGTGATAATTTTAATTTGTGCTCATCATTATCATGGAAGGAGTCTGTTTATGCCCATCTATAGTATGAAATGATTATGCTGTGCTCATCTATTTTATGGAAGAGGTTCGACCCTTTTTACCGATTACGTGCCCTTCTATAAAATTAATGGGAGTCAATCATTTAGGAACTATCTTGTATCTTCCATGATGAAGGTAAAAGTGTGACCTATTGTGTATAAATGGAATTTTGCTATTGATCAATAGGTTTGATACCCATTTGTTTGGGAGTTTTGATTTATTGGATCATTATGATGTTTGCATATAATTTGTTTTCAGGTATATTCTTATCTTCTCAAACAAACTTTGTAGACAAAGCATGAATCTTCGGAAAATGCATATGTTATATGTGATTTATTATAATACTCATTGATCTCTTGCTGTTATTTTATAATTTATTACTTACCAGAATGTATATCTCATTATTTTCATAATTATTTAAGATCAATAATTGTTAGAACTTTGAGAGAAGTTTTGAAGACAATTTTAGGATGTTAATAGAGTTGTCTCTTCAAGTTTGTTATTTATGTTGCTTCCCTTTAGAGACCACTGAATGATAAAAATTAAATCTTGTACTTTTCACTTTTGCAAAGAGAAAGATATATTTATGACTTAGTTTGTAAAAGCCTTTTTTGGCAAACACTCCTAGGTGTATATACATATTACATTAACAATTTAGATTTGCTTTTTATTATATTATGGCTTACTTTAAATATTTTTTTTAAATTTATTCATTGAGTTACACTCCAAATCAGAATCAATAATTGTTAATGGGAATTACACCTAGGAGAACTGAAAATTGTCCTCAGTGCACTATGGGAAGCACCATGCCAAGTAAGGATTAAGTTGACTCTCCCGACTATATATATATATATATGACGTCTATCCTGGCTCACATTGTTACCGCTGAACGAGTGAAAATAGAGAAAATAGATCTACGTAAAATTGACATGATGGATTATCGGCCAAACTATGCTAATGTCAAAGCCCTATGTGCCCTTTTTAGGTCTAATAGAGTATTACCATTTTATTAAATGTTTTATCAAGGGTGTGTAATTCCAAGTAGTCTTTTGACTGACATTTTGCCGAAAAAGACACCCTCAAATTGGGTCATAAACTGACCAAGGCCTTCGAAAGATATAGATTTTTAAGAACAAAGGTGGATTATTTATATTGTAATAATTACCAAACATTGCAATACTCTTAACAAAACTACAATATGATTTTTTTATTATTGATAATTACTAATCTATTTCATTTCCATAATATATCATCAACATTCATTCTCTATGCTTTTTATTTAATTACTTGTTCAATGAAGACACGAGAGAGCAACAAGTAAAAGTGGAAGAATTGACAGCATCACGTTTCACTTATGCTGCTCGTATGGTTACATAATATGCTTATGATATGATATATGCTCGTATGGTTACTCTTCTTTACCATTTTTCCCCTCATCACCTTTTAGAAATGGTAGGTACATATAAGCAGAAGAATTGGGGTGCAGAGTAAGCCCATTCACATAATCCACATATATTAAACCAAATCGCTTGGTAAAGCCTTGAGCCCACTCGAAATTATCTAATAACGACCACGCAAAATACCCCCGTACATCCACTCCGTCACTGTAAATTTATATAACGCCAAAAGAAAAAAAGGCATAAGCATGCAGTATCACTACATGTCTACATATCTGCATTTCCAAATTATACAAAATAAGTCTAGAAAGTGAGTGACTAACTTGATTGCCTTAGCAACAAAGGCAAGGTATTCCTTAAAATAAGCAATTCTCCATTTGTCGTCTAGCATCTGTGGAGACGAATCATTATATTCTTCATCCATACCTGTTAAGGAGCAGAATGGAATAGTTCGGGTAAAATGGAAGACAAATAAGCACATAGCTTTTACAAAATAAGAAGATTTGTTAACGCATTTCTTGCACTGTGAACTGAGATCTATAATTCAAGTACATTGATTGTAACTTCATTCCTAAGGAGCATCGTCAGAAATCAATACCAGGTAACCAAATAAATAAATAAATAAAGAAACCCCTCTCAGGACTAACTGACGAACTACCATGAAAGTCCCCACTCAAGAACAACACAGATTTTAATTACCAAACTGATAAAACACTTGATGCATATAAGAGCAGACAAAAACAAACTCAAATTATCAACTCATGAATGCCATACCATTCTCGGTAATATATATTATGGGATTGTTGTATGTCTGTGCTATGTAATTGAGAGTTTTCTGGATGCCCCAGGGAACAATATAGAGCCAGTCTGAGGCTGCCTGCCATGTATACAAATCTTTTAGCAGACTGGAAAGGATAGAACATCCCTGAGCCAAAACAAAAGCAAAAAATGTGTTTCTACTAGTGGGCATGCACTGATCTAGTTGTTAGGCTGCCTATCTATGTGTATGAAGCTGTTCGTTTGCATGTTTATGTCTCCCTGTATTCATGTCAGATACAGATATACATATATACATATAATAGACAGAGAGAGAGAGAGAGAACATACTCTTTTACCAATTGCTTCACCACCTTCCAATTGAACTGACGACAGGAAATAACATTATTTAGGAGAACTACTATGTACAAACTTTCAGCAATAAGCTAGTTGACATTACCAATTCTCTCCATCTGCTGTGCTTTATACACATCACCTTCTTCAGGGGTATTTTCCATGTGAGCAATAAACCTTGATGTGTAGTGATTCAATCCAACAAAGTCTATTGAGTTTTCAAGTAACTTTTTATCTTCCTGCGAAAATTTAGGGAGTCGATCTCCAACTTGCTCACGCATAGTTTGAGGATAATCTCCATAACAAAGGGGATTCAAGAACCTATAAATAGCTAGAGACTCATTACCACAGAAGTGACAGGAGAAAATATTCAACAGAAAAGGTAGAAAATTCAGTAGGAATGGAAGTAGAAAAGATTTCTTGATCTCTTCCAATATATGAAACTTTCACGTGAATCCTTTAACTGCTTTCGGATCTTTTAAATGTTTATCTAATCTACCATGCCCAATTGGACCAAATATATGGTGATACTAGTAAAGGTAGCTGTTCTTTTCAGGATCATTAGTAAAGGTAGCTGTTCTATAAGAAAAGAAAATTTATTAAAACGAAATATATCTATCTAGACCAACAAAACCAAGAAATAAAGAGAAGGAAAAAAAGCAAAAAGGAAAAAAGATTAATATAATGAAGTAGTTCAATCCTTTTGCAAGTTGACAACATAATCTCTTGAACTAATCAGGAGTCGTAACCTACAAAGAAGCCAGAATAACAACTCTATCCCCGTTTCATGGCTGACAATTCTGCTGGGAAATACTTGCATTATGTTTTAAATTCTAACTACAAAACCAAATTATAGACTTGTTAAATGGTCTGGGTTGAATTTAATGGGACAAGAGAAGGGTTTTGAAGCCCAGTACAACTAGTAGCCCAGCCCAGAACAACAGGCTCAGGCAGAGCCAGAGCTTTCAAGGGGCTCCAGGGGTCATGGTCCCCCAAATTTTTTTTTTGAAATTTTAATATATATAATTATTTTTAAAATTTAATAAAAAATAATATAATATAAATATTATCATAAAACTCCACTAGTTCTTATTGTTAAGAAAGTGATAAATATACCAACAAAATTTGTCTCTCTCTAACATGTCTAAAGATATAAAAGAGTTATCTAATATAAAGTTTCTGTTACTTCATCATGAAAAATGAACAAAATCTTAATAATGTTTCTTTAAATTTTCATATTCTTCTCTCTTTATAGTTAATCTACAAAATCTTATCTTTTTAAATTAAAATTTACTGATAATTTATGCATAATATTTAGTTTTAATTAATTTTTCAACTGAAGATCTTAAATCTTGATATTTAAATAAATAAACATGATGAGAGATTACTCTAAATTATTCATAAATTACTATATACAATTGAATGAGTTTAGTGGGAGCAGTAGGAGCATTTAACCTCACTGAAAGTCAAAACATATAACATTTGCATAAATAGTTAAGTAAAATAAAGATTTAGGACTTATTTCACCATAGGGACTATGCCCCTGCACTCTTATTTTTCCCGTAAGAAACATATATATTACCGCACCTTAAAATAATTTTGCTTCATTATTGATTTAGGAAAAAATTACCACATTTATCCTTGAATCATTCAACATGTTACAATTAGTTCTCAAAATTTTTTTCTTTATCACATTTATACTCAAAAAAATTATTTCAATTCATGATCTTTTCACAGAATTCTACAAATTTTGATAGAAAATAACAAAAAGTTTTCTATTTCACCTATATTTTGTTTTATATCAAGTTTGAAAGTTATAGTAACTAAATATTAACATTGATACAATTAAGAAAAACAGTTTGTTTCTTTTATTTAAGTCATGCAGATGAAATAACAAGCATTCCATAAGAAAGAAAAGGCCTGTAATACACATTTAAATATTTTTTTTTTTTCAATTCATATTCCCGAATATTAAAATTATATTTTTAGGTAATTTTTTGTCACTCGCAAACAGCGATAACTTTTGCTATTTATGTAAAAAGTTTCACTTAATCACATTTGAAACAATTTTTAAGTTATGAATTCAAATTGGAAATGAAAAAGTTTTAAAACTGTTAGAATATTATAAAATATTTTCTATATATGATAGTATGATTATCTTTCCAAATATGTAAATTTAATTAGAAAAAAAATTATTAGGATAATTTATATTGATTACCATATATGAATCCGTCTACATATATATCTATCCCTACTTCTGTTTCAATAAAACATAAAAAAATATTCAGTATTCATTTCCCTAATTCTTATATGGTATCAGAACTAGGGTTAGGGTTAGAGTTTTAAGAGTCAAATTTCATCAGACTAAAAGAAGGGTTAAACAGCCCATTCCCGGCGTCGGATAAAGACAACCATCAATCTCTGACCAGTTCAGAGTGCGGTCAGCATGGTGGTGTAAACAGGAGAAGCCGAGAAAGCGGTTTGCACGGCAATTTGAGGTTGCGTGCAGCGAGACTACCGAAGGAGAGCATTCCCGTGCGTTGTTCGGTTCCCGTCAACAGAGGGACTCGGTTGACCAACTCTGTGCACGAAACCAGAAGGCCGAAGGAGAAAAAGGCGCAGCGGAGCAGATCGCGTGACAACAAGTAATTCTCCGCTCTCCGACACGATTTTGGCTGTTTCTGCAAGCGCTATTTCAGATTAGGGCCAACATTGGAGTTCTGTGGTGATTTCCAGCCAAAAGGAGGCAATTTGGTAGTTTCAGACAGCGGCGTGTGTAACTCCGACGGCGGCGCAGATCTCCGATGGTTGATAGTAAGCTTTTGGTAGGGTTGTTGATACCTGTACGTAAAGAGATACTCTGTTTTCTCAAATTTTCTGGTATATTTGTAGTTTTTTTGGTACATCTCTACCTGCTGTATTTTAGTATTTTTGAATGACAATTTGTAGATATTTTCGTGTTAAGAATGAGTGATAACAAGTTTTCGATGAGTGAGATAGTCCCGACCACGTCAAAGATCACTGAACATAAATTAAATGGTACAAATTATCTGTAGCAGAGCAAAACTATTAGAGTTTATGTACACAATATTGATAAGAATGATCACTTGACTCAAAACCCTTCCACTGATGGAACTAGGCAAATCTGACTAAGAAATAATGCACGATTGTTTCTGTAGATCAAAAATTCAATTGACAGTGAGATAATTGGCTTAATTAATTACTGTGAGTTTGTTAAAGAATTGATAAATTATTTAGAGTTTCTGTATTCAAGTAAAGGAAATGTGTCCCACATATATAATATTTGTAAAACTTTCTATCATGCTGAGAAGGAGGCCAAATCTCTTACGGCCTACTCTATGGAATTTAAAAAGACCTATAAAGAGTTTAATGTACTTTTGCTGTTCAGTGCTAATATCAAGGTACAACAAATAGATAGACCTCTGGCTATAACGAGTTTTTTGGCTAGTCTTCCATCTGAATTTGAGATTGCTAATCTCAAATTTTACATGATTCCGAGATCACATCTCTTCAGAAAGTTTTCAGTAGAGTGTTACGCACACACACTATTACATCTAATCAGCATGCTAATGTTCTTATTGCTAGAGGAAGAGGAAGAAATAATAACAGGGGAGGAAACAGAGTAATGGATAGTTGGTATTTCTTCTGATGTGTCTTCTGAACAAATTGATGATGGTATGCCTCCAACTCAAGAATAACCGCTCATTATTCATGTTTATTCCAGAAGACAACAGATTAATGATACATGTTTTGTACCAGCTTCTTCATCATCTGATCTTTCCACCCATGACCTTAATTTTCCCATCTATCTTCATAAAGATATGTCAATACACCCTTCCTCATTCTATTTATCCTATTGCTAACTTCACTTTATATGATCATTGGTCTCATTCGTCGAGCTCTTTAATTGCTTCTATAGATTCCATTTTCATACCCAAAACAGTTAAGAATGCTCTGAATCACCCTGTTTGCCGTAATGCATGCTTAAGGAGATAAATACTTTTGATAATAATCATATCTAGGATTTGATAGATTTGCCCAAAAGAAAAAAAGTTGTGGGGTGGAAATGAGTATTTGCAGTCAAAGTGAATTTTGATGGCTCTATGGTGAGACTTAAAACTCGATTGGTAGCAAAATGTTATACTCAAATTTATTGGATAGACTACTTTGATACATTCTCTTCAGTGACAAAACTTACCTATATCCGTTTATTCATATCTATTGTAACCTCTAAAGACTCACCCTTACACCAGCTAGACATTAAAAATGCATTTCTTTATGGTGATATCTTAGAAAAAGTGTATATGAAGCAATTACCTGCGTTTGTTGCTCAGAGAGAATACGGGAAAGTTTGACATTTGAATAAATCTTTCTATAGTCTGAAGCAGAGTCCCCGTGCGTGGTTTGACAAGTTTAGGAAGTAGTCTGTGAATTCGAATTGAGGAAGAACAAGTGTGATAATTCAGTCTTCTATAAACAATCAACAACTGATATTATACTTCTTATTGTTTATATTGATGATACTGTGATTACAGGAGATGACCATGTAGGAATATCCTCTCTCAAATCATTCCTGCATACCAAGTTTAATACCAAAGATTTGCAACAAATAAACTATTTCTTGAGGGTTGAAGTAACAAGAAGAAAGAGATTTTGTTATCTCAGAGGAAGTATATACTTGATCTACTTGTAGAAACAGGAAAGCTGGGAGCTAAGCCATGCAATACACCTATGATACTAAATGTACATTCCACAAAAGATGATGGTGATCCCTTTGATGATCCAGAAAAATGGAGGTGACTTGTTGGGAAATTGAATTACCTCATTGTGATTCGTCCAGATATTGCATATCCTCTCAGTATTACAAGTCAACTTATGTATATACCTACAATTAAACATTGGGAGGTTCTAAAATAGATTCTGTACTACTTAAAAAGTGTCCCGAGACTCGGCATAATGTCTAAAAATCACGGGCATACATTGAATATTTTACAGATGTTGATTGGGTTGGATCGAAAATTGATAGCAAGTTTACTATGAGCTATTGTGTTTTTATTGGTGAGAATCTCGTATTATGAAAAAATAAGAAGCAAATAGTTGTATCCCGCTCAAACGCAAAGTTTGAATATAGAGTTATGACTTAGTTCATATGTGAAGTCTTATATCCTACATCTTTTAGAAGAAATGGGTTTGAATCCCACATCTCCTGCAAGACTTTGATGCGATAATCAAACTGTCCTTCATATTGCCTAAAATCCTGTATATTATGAGAAAACCAAACATATTGAGATTGATTGTCA